TATTTTCATTTCGGCTTTTGGTAATTTCTTGGATTCGATATTTACTTTTGTGTTTCTGCTGAATTATTAATTAATAAAATATTTCATCAAATATAGGTTTTTTACGTTATATTTAGGATGACGTCATAGAACAAAAAGGGACAATGTTGTCAATGCCTATTTTTTTTCTAATACTTTATCAGAATGTCACGTGACCTATCTATTTTACCAAACAAAGAGGTAATAATACGAAAACTTCATTAGATAAAAAAAAACACAGAACGCTTATTGCGCAAGACGAGGCAAAATGTACCAAATTTTGTTAAACTTATGTATGGCAATCCGTCCTCCTTATTTGCACGGGATAAAAAGAGAAGAAGAAAAACCGCGTGTTGTGCAACGTATTTATCAATGAACATTTCAAACTACTTTTGAGTGTCACTTGTCAAGTAACGTCAAGTTGAATATCAACCGTACTTTTTTTTTTTATCAGACCACGAACAAGGACAAGGAGATGTCCAGCGTGCAAAACGAACACTTCACACCTGTACTAGTTAGCTAATAAAAAGACTTGCCTCATGTTGCGCGCACATACCAGGTAAAAATAGATAGGTCTTTTCTGTCAAACGAAACGGAAAATAGGTAATTTACTTACATGCCTCACAGCAGTAAGAAGCAAAAATGGTCGCGTTCCTGCTGGAAATACGTTATTAAGTACACTACCCTTTCCTGAGGCTGAGTCCGACAAACCTGCGGGCATTTTCTGAGTAAGTTTACGCTACGAAAAAGTACTGAATTCTTGAAAGAACTTTTTCCTAACTGTAACGTATTTTTGGCAATTAATTAAGATTATACAAAATAGTTAATAATAAATTATCAAGAGGACTGACAGCTAAAAATAACGAAATGAATCGACACGCATTATTTGAAAATGTTTATATAAATCATGCAACGTCGCGCGCCGTTGCCAACCAAAAACATCTGAAATTGCCCTACTTTAAATGCGTTGAAAAGTACTTTTAGTTTTGTTCGGTTGGCAGCAGAAATTTACTAAATATGACGTCATCCTAAATATAACGTAAAAAGCCTATATTAGACAATCCAATCCATCTGTCCAAAAGGAAAATTCAATATGGCGTTGGCGGCCAAGCAAGTCTGTTTTGAATATGTTTTTATGAGTATTCTAAATTATTTTGCTCAGAGTCTTGCTTGCAACTTTGATTTTGAATATTTAATACAATATTTGTTGACTAGGTACCTAAACTATTAAATCGGGCTGAAATTAGATATTTTTTTGTGTTTTTTGGTTCATGTGTGGCCGCCACGCCATCTTGAGTGTCACGTGGTTTGGATTGCCTAATACTGTTTTCGGTAGAGTTTACATAAGTACAAGTACTAGCTGATTGGTTAGAAATTATTTCTTATGTTATTTTCTGTATAAATGCCACAAAATTCTTATTTATTATATTAAAGTCTGTCGATTTTAATGTGATACCTAAAAAAAATATGAGCTGGTGGCTCCCTACATTAAAACGCCAATGGTCACCTGACGTCACACTTGTTTTTGCCATAAGCTTCACCCCCTCGCTCCTCATACGGAAAGTATCAGATTAAAAACGACGGACAATATCTATGTTATGTCTTATTTTATCTTATTTCTTATGTGCTGTATAAACCCACCTTAAATTTAAAGAAAAAAAGTAAACTTTCATGAGCATATTTTACAATATTAACATGGCATGGCTCTACGCTTTCGTATTTTTGATTATTATAAGTACCTAGGTATTTGTTATCTGAAAAAGTAGACTATTAAATACCTAAGTTGAATACCCTATTTTTAATAAACACTTATTTGCAAAGGGAAAAAGTTTGGCTATCTTTTGCCTCCAGCGTTATCTACCTCCTGAAGCTCGCGGGGCCGCTAGAGCAATACCCGTCCCGGGCCGATTCAAAGTTGCCCATCCGCCCCTGTATACAATAACATGGGAGAATTATCGCTGTAATTCTCTCTAGTTAAACAAATGGAAAAGAGAATTTTCGCTGTAATTCTGAAAATCGCCACTTGTCTTATGGGATTTCTAACACATGAGTGGAATAATCGGGGATAATACCACGAGAGCTTCAAAATTACCGATAATTTTTCACGATTGCGTGTTTTCTATAATTTTACGAGTCCGTAGGACGAGTGAAATTTGCAGAGTAGAGATGGAGAACTATCGATAGTCACGACCATCGATAGTTATCGATAGTCGGGACCTTGACTATCGATAAATATCGATAGTTTTCGATAGTAGTTAAATATAAGTTATAAGGTAAAAGGAAAGATATATGTGTACTAAAAATCTTTGTTTATAGGAAATAGCTAAATATTTAACTTTAACATCGACATCTGCAGTGGAATTCTGTAAGGAATAGAGATATTTTCGCATGATTTTAGTTATTTCTATTGAAGTACCTACGTCCCCTCACTATTGATTTCGAAAAGAGAGAAGAAGACAGCAAGTGCCATAGCGATAGGAATAACGATCTCTATCCGTTACAGAATTCCGCCTCTGATTTCTCATTTGCAGAATTTCTTTCTAAAACTAAAAATATGCATCTTATTCCAAAATCCTAGAATTTTTGTACAAAATCATTATCATAATCATTTCAACAATTCAACATTTTTGGCTTTCAGCACAAAATGCTTTCAGACAAGATCATTTGTCAGAAATAATGGCACCACGCACCAGCAGTAATGAAAATCTTTTCAGACCTTTCAGATTATTTTTTATAATTGTCCAAAAATTTGCCATTGTCCTTGAACAATAAAGCAAGGAAATCAAAAAAGGTTTCCAAATCAGTTGAAACTGTTCTGTTTTGCATTTTTGAAGTTCAGTTTTGTGTAGGAACCTAACTTTCGCTTACTAACGGGCGTTACAGCCAACTATCGACAACTATTGATAGTTTAAAAAAACTATCGATGTATTTCGATAGTCAATACTATCGATAGTTATCGATAGAGCCATCGATAGTTCTCCACCTCTATTGCAGAGAAAACACGCATGAGTGGAAAATTATCTGGTTCATTTTGAAGCTCAAGTGGTATTTAGCGGATTATTTCACGTATGAGAATGCAAAAAATATGGAAATACTTAAATAGGTATTAAACGATTTGAGTAAGGGATTTTATAGTGTTAGTGAATTTTTTAATTGTAATGTTATCCTTTGAAAGTGTGATGTATTCTATAGTACCTGACTTGTTTTTTAAATTGTGGTAAATTAGGATTAAGTTTTACAATTTTTTTTAGAATTTTTATATAATGAATAGTGCTTTACTCTATTTTTTTTATTACATTTTTGATGTGTGTAAGTACTCTGCTCTGTATAATAACATGAATAAAGAATTTGAATTTGAATATCTTAACAATCAATACAAATAAATGGTTGCTATCAGGATTGTTTGTATCAAAAATTAGCATGACAACCATGTATACAATAACATGGGAGAATTATCGCTGTAATTCTCTCTAGTTAAACAAATGGAAAAGAGAATTTTCGCTGTAATTCTGAGAATCGTCACTTGCCTTATGGAATTTCTAACACATGAGTGGAATAATCATATATTATATCACAAGACCTTCAAATTTAATCGATTAAACTATGCAACATATTTTGAGCATGATTTTGCTTGGAAAATAGTTGAATGCACAATAACTTAAAAGTTATTGTGCATGAAACTATTTGCCAAAAAGCAAGGTTGTGCGAAAAATATTTGGATAGTTTAATCCATTTAAATTTCTAGGTCGAGTGATATACGGCTAGATTATTTCCTGAATAATTAATTATTAGGATTGAAGCCACAAACAAAAAGTTCTATTTTTTATTATAAAATGTCAGAATATTTCTATCAAAATTCTGTCAAAAAAGGTAAACAAAAATTTAATCGTAGGTAATACCATAAGAGCTCAGATTTAGCCGGATATTTTTTGGCTTGGTCTCGAATACTTACTTTCAGGAAATTTAACGAGAGCTGCAAAATCACGAGAGCGCAGCTCGAGTGATTTTGTGGAACAGATCGAGATAAATTGCCTGAAAGTAAGTATGAGAGGGCAAGCAAAAAAATATCCTGCTCAAAATCTGAGCTCGAATGGTATTTAGTACGGCAATTCCACGAATGCATAATCAAAATAAAATATGGAAATACTTTTTAAAATGAACAGTTATTGAAGGTACAATTAGAATACATTTTTGCCCCTTAGAATTTGACTCTACAGAAAGAGAAAAAGACTCTCTTTGTGTTCTCAGGAATTGAATTTTCTATTTCGCTATCAATTATTTCATCATTAATTGTCCCAAATCGGTGCATGTTGAAAATATTTCCAATTTTATTTAAAAATACACTTTTAATAAGCTAAAATGATCGAATTTGTGACACAATTATTTGACAGATGATTCAAAAACCAATTTAATATGCAATTGTTACTACGGTAACGATTGCATCAACAGAAAATTTATCCGATTTTTTTATCCAGTTATATTTTCTCTTCCTTCCTATTTATCCGCTAGCAAACTACGGTTTTTGATATTTCAAATGGGATTATTTATACATGAGTGGAATTGTCGCTGATAAACAGGTCTTGTGAAATAATCACTTATTTAAACAAAATTTATTCAAAAAATGACGTTGTCTGATTGGTCCATTTTATAATGAATGAAATAATCGCTGAAAAACCATCATGTTGGTTTTGTCCAGGTAGGAGTTTTGTCAGTAGGAAACCGGCCATTCCTATAACATTTTGCCAGTGTAAAACACTCTATTATTATCATCTTCCAAATATTATTATTGTAATAATAAATTTGGATAAAAAATGTTTTTTTTTTCTTTTTTTAAAGGGCCAACCTAGAAGAGAAATGCAAACAAGACGTACCTATTTCTTGCGTGATACAATAAATAATTGTTTCGTTTATCCAGATTTGTAAAATTCTTAATAACACTGGGTAGAAGGAAGACAAATTGTGTGTTTCTATTCTATGATTACCTGCAATATTAAAGGATTCCAAATTGTTTGCTACTGATCCCATTCTGTGTAAATGTTAATAGTTATTGTACCTAATATCTATTAGGATTTCACTCAATTTACATTTTTCACTTGGCAAAATATGGAATATGTACAAACAGGAAGAGATTTTTGATTTTTTCCTACAAATGCAAATAGCAAAATAATAATAATAATAAAGAAAGGACGGGAAAATATGGCGGATTTGTTGTTGGAGAATAATGACAATTGACAGTATTGACACTTGACACTGAAATATTAGGCGGCGTTCCATAAGTTAACCATGGGCGTGTTTGGGTTGACGGTCGGCGGAGCGAGCAGAGCGATTACGGAGTAACGTGACGTCACAGGGAGGACACCGTGTTAAGCCAAATAAACTTGTGCAAAAATGCTGGGTTGAGTGATCAGCTGATTATTGTTTACTTTTCTTAGCATATATTTTTTGGATTCCGAGCCCGCATTTGCATTAGAGTTTTCTCGTTTGTTTTGCATTTTAGTTGATAATTTTCAAACTGCCCCATTTTCGTTTGTATTCTGCAGAAAATGTCGTGCTACATAAACAATAAAACGGACCTAAACACTCTGAGGCTGCCACGTTCTCTTGGAAAAATATGTTCAATAATACCAGTGATGAGGACTATCGAAAAAAAGTGAACAATTATGCAGAATAGCTGGATTTATAACTTCCGTAACGTAAGCAGTAAGCAGTATCCGTAAGACGTAAGAAAAATGAACTTATTAGACTATCCAAGATGCTGTCAAACTTAAATTAAAATGGCCGCCAAGTGGCACACAAACCCAAGAATCGTAAACTCTACACATTGATCCTTACGACAAAAACAGATATAATTTTTTTTCTCGAAAACTGATAGAGATAAATCTATCGAACTTTATATCATTGAAATCAGCAAAAACAGAGCTATCCAATGAGCTATTAATATATAGGGTGTTACATTTGAAAATATCGGACTTTGGTCTATATCTCGAAATCGGAGCGATATAGAAAAAAATTCAGTCCGCCACTGGATTGTGCTCAAAAAAGTCTCTCCATAATGTTTTTACAGAAATAAAAAAAATTGATAAATAAAAAACTTATAGCTATTTTTCATAATTGGGGAAAATCGGAAATCGCCCTGTATCAATGGTACCATTGAAGATATCGCGATACGGTTTTTGACAATCGACGTTTCTCGAAAATCGATCCCATGACGTTTTAGTCAATTTTCCTCCATCTGGTCTGGAAGTATGTTTTTCCTGTTGAAACACTCCAAATTGCAGCACCCTGTACACAGGGCCGCAACTAGGGGGTGGCGAACTAGGCGCCCGCCTAGGGCGCCAGAGTATCGGGGCGCCGAAGGCGCCTAATTTAATCCATCCATATTTTACAATCCAAAAAAATGCAACGGTTTTACGCGTCATTTGTCGTAACACGAAAATTTATTTTGCTTGTGTTATATCTCTCTTTATCAACCATACGAATATCGATAGTAATCATGTAAATTATGTCAAACATAGTACGTGTGCAAAAGGCAGCAGCAAATCAAGGATGAAACATACTAATACTACAGGATGGCCTATCCTCATAAGGCCTGTGTGTAACAAATCCCCCCTCTTCTGCTTAATCCTGATGGTTTAGGATGAAAGAGCAGAAGGGCCTTAGTACCAGACAGGACTTAAAGTCACGGCACTTGCACTAGGCCGTAAGATAGGTAACTTACAACCAGACTAAGCAGCCATCAACCAGAGTGATACCAGTAGCGATCCAGAGGTCCATCAACCAGAGTCCCAGAGGTCCCACCAACAGCGGTCCCAGAGGTCCAACAAAACCAAGTAACCATCAACCAGATTACCAGAGGTCCCACCAAGAGTGGTCCCAGAGGTCCAACCAAACCAAGCAGCTATCAACCGACTCCCTGAGGTCCCACCAACAGCGGTTTCAGAAGTTCAACCAGGCCCAACAGCGGTCAATCACATTCCCAGAGCTCCCACCAATAGCGGTTCCAGAGGTCCAACTAAGCCCATTGCAAGATCAACAGAACAATGCCGGAAGAAATGATCTTAGGTGCTGCTCAGTAAGAAAAACTAAGCAAAAAGATCATGCAGCTTTACACCAACTGTAAAAATGTTGGCCAATCAAGAAAAACTGAACAGTATGTAGAACAAAAACTTGGAACGCTAGAAGAACTTGGGATGCAGTTAAAGAAAATGATCATGAACTAAACCACGCCTACTTTACTGAAAAAAACACCTGCAACAAATAAAAGAGAGGTATGAGACTTGCAAGAAGTACCTTGAAACGATCAATGATGAATTACAAAATAGTCCACAACTCTTACTTTTGAAGAAACAAAATCTTAAGTGTGAGGAATTGGATAGAACAATCGACCAAATCAACCAAGATCTAACTGAATCAAAATCAAGAATAAGGTATGAATTACAACAGAAAAAGCTGGTAAAACAATGGGCAGCCATTCAAGAATTGCACGAAGAGATAATAATTCATAAAAATCATTCACCAGTGCCTACTTCAGAGATGATAAGTTTCATGAGTATCAGATGAAGTATGAAGACACGTTGGAAAAATTATTAACGGAAACAAACGAGGCACAAGCTTCATGTCAGCCGCAATTACCACAGACCCAATCAATTTGGCCTGTAAAACATCTTGCGTCACCACAAATAACCATTCCAACATTTCACGGAGGCTACGAGAACTGGGGCTCTTTCCATGATGTTTTTTTGCGAGTAGTCCACGACAACATACATTTTTCCAAGGCAGATACAACTACTCAAAACACATGTTCGAGGAGAAGCTGCAAGACTCATTCAGCATCTGACAACCACTGAAAATTATTACGAGACAGCATGGGACTTGCTTCAGAATAGATATGAAAACAAACGACTATTAGCCTCGAAACTGATAGACGTTGAAAAATTAAAACCCTTGCATGACATCACCAAAGAATGTACTCGTGGGCTAGAAAATAAAAGGAGTAAGTACAGTCATGGGGTCCAATCATCATTAGAATAATCAGTCGGAAATGGGATTGAAAAAAGACAAAATACGTCTGCTAGCGATCAGGTTAACCCGATCATAGTTTCCGTAAACAGCTTTTACTTTTACAATAGCTTCGTTCGCGGAAGGATTCTGAACTGGTTCCAAACTATTTCGCATGCGCAGTTCAAGTAATGGCGTTCGCGGATCACAAAATTCCGAACTTTTAGTTACGGTTCTGGATTCGCGGATCAACCAGAGTCGGTTCGGAACCGTTTCTGAACCAGTTCTAACGGTCCTTTTTGAGAACGCGGCGGAGGGGCGCCAAAATTTGGACTTGCCTTGGGCGCCGAGGGTTCTAGTTGCGGTCCTGCCTGTACAGGGACTTTCCCTATATATTGACCGGGGGGGGAGATAATATTTACAATTTTTTTATATCTTTTCACATAACCCCTGTAGTGGGGGGGCACTACAGGGGTTATGTGAAAAGATATAAAAAAATTGTAAATATTATCTATTCACAATCCGATGTCCGAAGGTAAAGGTAAAATTTATCACCTTTCAGTGCTATTTGATAGGGAAAGGTGATAAATTTACCTTTACCTTTGGACTACGGATTGTGAATAGGATATATAAAAGTTTTGGTGTTTTACCTGAAATTTTTGAATCTGATGTCAAAACTTCTTTGCTTTTTTAAAAATGTCAAATTTTGACAGATGGTTAGTTTTTTCTTAGTTGTGAAGAGTTAAATTTTCTAATTTGAAATATATATGGTTTAACTGCTTTTAATTAAGCCGTTTTGGAAATATCAAGGTCTAAACTTCAAGAAAATAATAGATTGAAACACATCAGCTCTGTTCCTTCCAACCGACATAAGAACCATTCTAGAACGGAAATTTCCAGTTGCCCACCTATTTTTCAATAAGTTGAACGTTTATCCTAATTGACAAATGAATTGATCGACTAGAAATTACCGTTCTAGAACGGATCTCATGTCGGTTGAAACAGAGCTGATGTATTTCAATGTATTATTTTCTTGAAGTTTAGAGCCCGATATTTCCAAAACGGCTCGATTAAAAGTAGTTAAACCATATATATTTGAAATCAGAAAAATCGATGCTTTTCAACTATGATGAAGTCATATAGTGTAGTAGAAGTCACAGGGTGTTCCATAAGAAAAAACTAACATCCGTCAAAATTTGACATTTCTAAAAAGACAAAAAAGTTTTTGACATCGGATTCAAAAATTTCAGGTAAAATCCCAAAACTTTTGTATTTAAAATTTTTTGATATATATTACATAACCCTTGTAAAGGAGAGGTCAATATGTAGGGAAAGGCCCTGTACTTATTTTTTTGCGATGCACAAATTGGCTGACGAATTCGTCCAATGATAGGTCTGATCTCTCAAGAGTCAGTGACAGTTTGCAACCTGTCAGAAACAATCGCTCAGCGAAGTTACCGATTTATCTTGGACCAAAGGCATTGAAAACATATATAGGTGATGTGCTTGTCATAGTATGCAAACTGTCAGAGACTCTTGTGAAAACAGACCTATTGACACTGTGCAATTCACTGTTTTCTCCACCTGATATCGGGATAAGGGATGTTCAATAAAACACAGAATATTTATCTTCACGGTTCTCTGCCTGCCTCCTCAATAACGAATGACGTGTTAGTCCTCGTGGTATTTCAGTCAGCTGTTCATACGGTCTTCGCTTATACAGAAACGAAGATAATTATTTTTTCATCGGGTGATCAGATCGGACGGTCGCCGGATCCCCCGATTTCTTGTAATCTCATCAAATAATAAGTTTTAGTTTTGTTTTCTTTTTTTGCTTTGTTGGTAATTTCATAGCATTCCTAAGCACTTGGTCTTGTGCCGCCCCTTGCAGTCCTACCGCCCCGGGCCATGGCCCTAGGGTAAATACGCCATTGCGCCGCCTGCCGCTTTCGCTGACGCTTTTGAGCACGCAATCGAGCTTTTGCGCGCGCAAATGCTTTAAGCGCGTGTTCGTGTTCCAGCCGTACTGCACTTCGAGAGCTGCTAACTTTTGCGTTTCAAACACAGAACACTGTGCTGCATCGTGCTTCAAGCACAGAGGTGGAAAGCGGCTTAAATTAAAATATAAGTCAACTTGTTGCTTTAGGACGTGTACGCTTTTACGCGCGTAAATATGCGGTTACGCTTTTACGCACATGAGGACCCGCCTTGGGATCCCACTATCAAGACGTCTTTTTCTGACGGAGGTTTTGAAATGTTTTGAAACGTTTTAAAAGGCTACATTTTTTTGCTGCAACAGTGACGTCATATACGGAGGCGGTTCAACCAGTTTCGAACCGCTCTTTCAGCCTCTTTCAAAATAAACGTTAAACAGCTGACCTCAAAGTACCACAAAACAATAATTTTAGGGATGTCGCAGGCTCCGTTTTAAAACGGGACATTTTTGATCACCACCGATCCGATATGATGACGTAGCAACTGAATCAGTTTTGAAACGTTTTATGGCCGTTTGCACCGACCATTTTAAGGGAGGTTTAACGATAATCAACGTTTAAAGTGACATTTTTACATGTAATAAAGTCACTTTAAACGTTGATTATCGTTAAACCTCCCTAAATGTTCGGTGCAAACGGCTATTAAAACACGGTTCAACAGAAAAAAGTTGTATCTTTTCAAAAGTTTGAAACACTCGAGCTACTCGCTCCGGTGTTCAGTCGCCCCCGATTTGCAGGGAACAGGGGGCGGATTACGAACTGTCGATTCGAACCGAAACCGCCATGGATTTCGAACGCACTCCATGCGAATGCATCAGAATGCGTTCGAAATCCATGGCGGTTTCGGTTCGAATCGAGAGTTCGTAATCCGCCCCCAGATGCGTGATGCAACAAACACTTTTCGAAAGGAATAAGCGCGTGAAGCCCCGGAGCTGTTCCGGAGCTCCTCCTAGGTGTGAAAGGAATACAACTAAATGTATTTCAGAAAATGTTAAATGTATTTTAGAATAGCCAAATGTATTTCAGAAAGCGTTAAATGTATTTCAGAATAGTTAAATGTATTTGAGAAAGCGTTGAATGTATTTCAGAATAGTTAAATGTATTTCAGAAAGCGTAAAATGTATTTCAGAATAGCCAAAAGTATTTCAAAAAGTAAAAATTCGGCGAAAATAATTCAGGAGGGAGGCGACACAAAAAATTACCTACCTATGTCTGTGCAGTTTTTCCTACGTGAGCCAGACTGACCCAACAGGAGCTTAATAGTAGCATTTAACTTTTCTGAAATTCATTTAACGCTTTCTGAAATACATTTAACTATTCTGAAATACATTTAACTATTCTGAAATACATTCAACTATTCTGAAATACATTTGACGCTTTCTGAACTATAATATTTGGCTATTCTGAAATACATTTGACACCTTCTGAAATACAGTTGGAAAAGGTGTTAGTAGGTTCTTGAATTTTTAGCCGTTTTCCAGCTGACGCTTTTGAGCACGCAATCGAGCAGCGCGTGTTCGTGTTCCAGCCGTACTGCGCTTCGAGAGCTGCTAACTTTTGCGTTTCAAACACAGAACACTGTGCTGCACCGTGTTTGAAGCACACAGCTGGAAAGCGGCTTTTGTGACATATTTTCTTTGACAGCTCATTGTTTTCTGTCATTTGTCATTTGTGATTGAAAGAAGAGAGGTGTTGTCTCTTGCTTGTCTCTCCGTAGTCCGTGGTCCTCTGCGACTGCGACCTTTGCGTACTCTTAACTTTTCTCTGTTTGTTTACGTTTACCATTAATAACCTAAACCAAATTTTTGTGTTTTTTTTTTATGAAACTCTTTGATTTCGAGACAAGTTGAAAGATTTAATTCGTGTTTCGTGAAGATAAGCTGAGATACTAATTAAAAATGTTATGTTCTCCGGCTGAAATCGAAAGAAAAAGACAAGAAGCCTTACAAAAATTAGCGAACAGAACTAGTCCCAAAAAATTGGATACACTCCACTCATCAGCTTTATCTACGAGTATAAATAAATTGTCTAGTCCCAGTTCCATTAAAAGCCGATTTCAAAGCCCAGGTTTCAAGAAAAAGCCTTATGAAAAAACAAATTTTATTCCAGAGCCTGGGACCAGTACTAAGGATAACATTAGCTACATACATAAAAAAGTAAATACAAACTTTTATGGACTTGATAAAAAAATCACCACAACTATGATTTTGCTTTCATCTCAAAAGTTCAGTGTAAAGACCTCTGCATATTTCCCTCCAGTGTTTGATATCTTGAAAACTATCCCATCCAAAAATTATGGTAGGTATCTATATCTATAGCAAAAACAATCTAAAGTGTTGATTATCTTTGCATCTTTCTTCTACCTGTTCTAATTATAATAATTTTTATATCAGTTTTACTCCAAAAGGACCATAAAGTCATTGTAAACCCTATGCTATGGTTCACAATAGTTTTATGGTCCTAATAGTGGAGTAAAATCACAATGAAATTATGACTTTGAGTGATTCCGAGGTATAACCAGATGAAACCTATATCATCTTGTAGAGGACACTCTGGGGCATAGGAAATGGCAATGTACAACTTTTTTTAGTAGGACTGAACTTTGAAATCGGCCCTTAAACGTGCCTGAGCTCGAATTTGAAAAACTACGTTTTTCTAAACATTACCCGCTGTATTAATTAAAGCATACAATCTAAAATTCTGATTTTTTGCACATTTATACTTGAAACATGAGCGCTTCTAATGACAGTTCAGAAATTTCGGTTTTAGGTTTTTTCGTTAAAAAGTTAGGAATATAGAATTATCAAAATCGTGCATCTTAAACTTCACCCTGTGGCGAGCCATGTGAATTATTGAAAATTTCTATACATATATATCGAGTCAAATGTAGTAAAAACATTGTCGAAGTTTTTGAAAAAAAAATTAAGTCGCTAACTTTAGCGGTTATAGAAATATGAATTTTTATCCGGGAGCTTTGAAATGCGCTCTGATGCTGAAAGCGGCTAGCGGCTACCATTCAGGAAATCATCTGCGTTAGTGCGTTAGCGTTACATCTAGAAATAAAATAAAAAAATCTATAAACATAAAGTAATTGATTGAACACTTTTTTATGAAGTTAGTTTAAATATTTTCTCCTTCATCATCCTCATTCATATAAATCAGGAATATTATTTTGACAACTTTTGCAGGAACAGCAGCATGTTAAACCCTCTTTCAAGCAGACACTGAAATTTTGTTTATCACATAAATACAGCTTCTTTTGTTATATATACACCTAGCTCAGTACATGGTGGTAAAATGCATCATCTGTGGGTAGAAGTTCAGAAGCGGATTTATTGGAAGTTGTGATCAATTGATATCTCAATTCATAGAGGGTTTTTAGGGCCTCGTTCTTATTTCTGAATAGGGCCAATGCAAATTTGGTGGCAATATAAGGTTCCAAGATTTTTAGAAAATACATTTTTTGCCTTTGCATTTGTGGTATCGCATCCTGTTGACACATGCAGCGCTGGTAAACATTTATAAACTTCATATTCCAGTTTCTGCACTATTTATTGGAATGATCCTTTTTTTATTCCCTTATCCTAATTCCATAAAAAGGTAGGTTTCTTTCAAAGAACTTACTTCAATAAATTCAGAATAGTGGTAAATAAGCAAGTAAATAAGTAATGATAGATAATTTATTCAAGTAAAATAATCAGTTATTTGTATGTACCAGATTCCATTTCTTTTTTTTTAATAAGTAATAATACTTTTTTTAATAAGTAATAAGTATTTCCTTAATATTAGAATAATTACTTAAAAAGATATTCAAATTTCTTATATTCTTTATATAAAAATTTCTTGCAGTTAATCTTAAACCTATAAATATTATTAGTCACCTTCAAACTCCTTGATAACATATTGTAGATTTTAGGACCGAGGTATGCTGCACTTCTTAGATTAATGTTATTAAAATTTAACGGAATTACAATGTCTGCATTTATCTTCCCCCGAGTTTCGTATTGATGGCTTATTATATTTTGAAGATATTTATTTTGATGGATAAATGCAGCTACCGATACCATATACAATGTTCTTATATTACATATTTCATCCGAAAAAAGTAACTCTGTAGGATACAACCTATTTTTGCCATACATAATTTTCAATATATATTTCTGCGCAACATTTAATTTTTGAAGAGCATTATCATATAATCCTCCCCATACCAAAATTCCGTACCTAATCAAAGACTCAACAAGGGTTTTGTATATAACAGTTAACATTTGTCTGCTCAGAACCTGCTTAAGCAGGTAAAATTTACGAATTAATCCACGAATTCTATTTGATAGGTACTCAATATGTGGAAGCCACTTCAGAAACTGGTCAATTATTATGCCAAGATACTTTGTATGGGAAACTTCTTCAACTTTTTGATTATTGACTGTAATATTTGAGAAAGTAGGTCGGTTAGCACTTGTTAGAGAAAAAGCAATATAATTTGTTTTCTTCAAATTTAGAGATAATTTAAAACTTTCCAACCAATTTTTTGTAATCTTTAAACCCTATATCATTTTATCTTTAACATCTTCCCAAGTATTGCCATTAAAAAGCAGTACAGTATCATCGGTGTATGATATTAAAGATCCATTAACATTTAAAGAAAGTAGACCATTAATGTATGTGACAAACAAAACTGGACCAAGCACTGTTCCTTGTGGCACTCCCATCTTGATGACCCTTTCAACACTCAAAATATTATTAATTTTTACTATTTGAGATCTCTCATGAAGGTAGCTTTGAAACAATTTCCACACCGTTCCCCTGACTCCATATTGCCATAAGACATCTAGGAGTTTATCATGGGAAACAGTGTCGAATGCCTTGGCCAGGTCAATGAAAATGGCAGCACATTTTTTACCATTGTTCAAATGGCTGGTAATCTCCGATGTTAGTCTATGCATAGCATCTTCAGTACTACATCCCTGCAAAAACCGTACTGGTTTCCTGACAGTATATTGTTAATTCTGAAAAACTCAACAAGTCTGTCCTTAACACACTTTTCAAACAGTTTGGCAAAGCCACTCACCAAACTTATAGGCCTATAGTTCTCTATCAGTGATTTTGAACCGCTCTTATGAACAGGTGTGACAACTGATGCTTTATAGTGGGAAGGCACAATTCCCGTTGCAAAACTTCTGTTAATTATATGTAACAACGGTTTCAAAATTTCAATATGTGTTTGTTTTATTAATTTAGAACTTACTCTGTCCAAACCTGGAGCACTTGTACTCTTTAACGACCAGATATGTTTGATTAACTCATTTTCGCATACTGGCGAAAGAAACATAGAATTTTTTAAACTAAAATCTGCTTTAATTGAAAATTTTGGTTTTGGAATTGTTTCTGCCATTTTTTCACCAACATTAATAAAATATTCGTTACAGTGATTGGCTATGTCTAAATCATTTTTCAGTTCAATACCAGCATTATCAGTTATTTTAATATTATTTATTTTGTCATTTGTATTTTCATATGTAACATCTTTGATTATTTCATATATTTTTTTGATGTTATTTTTATTGTTATTAATCTGAGTTTTGTAATATTCATTTTTTTGTTTATCAATCAGTTTATTTAATTGGTTTCGATATCTTTTGTATTCGTTTTCCAGATCAGGATCATAATTTTGCAGTAACTTTCTTTTAAGCTTATCTCGGTGTTTAATGGAGGTGATTATTCCATTGGTTATCCATTTTTTTATTTTTTTATACTGTTTTACTTTTTTGCTGTGTTGAGTAGTTGCTTGTAACATCAAGTCTTTGTAAGTTGAAATAAATTTTGAATTTGACGACTCAGGGTCAGAGTCATCAAGAACCAAGGACCAATCCTGAGCTCTTAGAGATGCTATAAACTTGCACAGGTCAAATGAACTGGTTTTTATTACTTCATTATTGTTATAGATTTTAGCATCCCTTGAGACCACATTAAGCATGGTAGGTCCATGGTCCGTCATGTGAGAGTCTAAAATGTATGTTTCTAAGGTTAGGCAATTGAGCTTTAGCCTGCTGTTAACAAAAATATGATCAAGACCAGTATAACTATCAAATCTGGTCACATTATTTATGTACGACTCGAATCCCAACTGAGACATCATTGACAAATAGTTATACACCTCATTATTCCCTACATCTAACAAGTCCATGTTTATGTCACCCAAAAAAAATTCAAAATTGTTATCACTATAACTAGTTATGTTTCCCAGACAAGTTTGAACATCTTCAATAAAATCCGTCTTAGATATGGGCAGGGCTTGAGTGCTTTGTGCTTGCGAAAGTGCTTGAAGCACTTTGAGGGCTTGAAAGCCCTGTGCTTCAAGCCCTTTTATAGATTTGTAATTGGGGCTTGCAAAGTCAATTACTTTAGAAAAGTGCTTGGTAATTTGTAATTGAAAAAAGTAATTCAAGCCCTTTCAATGAGCTTCAATTACTTTTAGAGGGCTTGAAGCACTTTTGGGAGCTTGAAGCCCTTTGAAAGGGCTTGAAGCCCTTTAAGAGGGCTTGAAGCACTTTTGGGAGCTTGAAGCACTTTGAAAGGGCTTGAAGCACTTTAAAAAGGCTTGAAGCACTTTAAAAGGGCTTGAAGCACTTTGAAAGGAATTTGAATTGACCATCATTCAACCTCCCACTTAAAAATTTTCGATCGTGTTTTGTCCCTTAATTTTTTTTTCTTTTATTTGAACTTGAACCGTCTGATGTCTTTTCTCTCTTAACAATGGAGGTTTTGGGTTCGAGCTTAGAATGGAATTTAAAAAAAAATGAATGAACTTATTATTAAAATAAATAATTAATTTATATTGGTACCCTATTTAACTTTATCACTGGATTTTTTCCACTTTTCCCCATTGAACATTGTGAAAACCTTAAAATTGAAGTACCATGTAGTACCCCAAGTACCCCAGAACTACATCTCAAAAAAAAAACATACTACTGCTACTCTGTGAAATGTAAAGTTCGTCTCTACTATACCAATTCTGTGTGATGAGTTTACGCGGTAGCTTATGCCACTTTGAGAATTTTATTACAAATTCAAAGTGCTTTAGGCACATTTAAAGAGCTTGAAGCCCTTTTCAAGGCACCTCAAGCACTTTTGATGTGCTTCAAGCACTTTTCAAATCACTTTGAGGGCTTTGTGCTTGTCAAGCCCAAAGCACTTTGAGGGCTTTGTGCTTGTGAAGCACTTTTAAAAATAAAAAGGAATTTGTGTTTGAAATTGAAGCACTTTGATAGAGGGCTTAGGGCTTAGTGTTTCAAGCC